CATGTATTTGTTTCTCTAACTCAAAAGTGACTGACACCCCCCCCCCCCCCCCCCTTTCCCGGGTACACCCCCCCCCCCCCCCCCCCCCCCAAAGAGACGCACACACACATAAAAGCCTTCTGGGATTAGTTTATCATAAAAACAGGAAAACTCACGGATTCACGGTCGCAACAGGCGCTAGAACAGTTATGCGATGCCCTAAAGTCAAAATACGAGGGGAAGATAACGCGGCAAAGGAACAATCCTTACTCAACAATTTACTACTGTCTAATATCCCACATACTGCAAAATAGATCAGGATATAGAAATAAATGAGCGCAGTGGCGTCACAAAAGAGGAGGGGGGGGGGGGGGGAGGGGGGGGGGGGGGCAGGTCAAGAAGGTAGCGACAAATGCCCTTCAAAAGGTTTCATATATCCCTCCGCCACCACCGCATCTAAAGGGGTATTCACACGAGGGAGAAATCCCGGGGATTTCTCCTCGGCACGCGCATCCCACGACGAAAACGTCAAGCTTTGCGGTGTGCAAAAGCCTCGCGTTTCATCTCGTGATGCGCGCATGCCAGGGAGAAATCCCCGGGATTTCTCCCTCGTGTGAATACCCCTTAAAGAGTCCCACCGTTTCCGTGACGTCGTGGCCAACGCGGGAGAGGGTTTTGCCTTCCTGTGCATACATGTTTTATCTTTCGACTTTGACTTAGCGTTGTGGAAGCCACTAGAGGAAGATTAGAGTTTTCCCCCCTCCGATGAAAACAAATGCGGCCATTGGGGGGTTAGGTTCCCCCTCCGATAAATACAAAGGCCACCTTCACGGGCTCGGTTCCCTCCGATGAATACAAAGGTCCCTTTCTTAAAATGTGGGGGTCGGAGACAAGTTGGCCTCACCCTGTAGCCAATATCTATTCATTGAACCGGAACAAGGAGCGTTTCCAGTGAAGTATTCTTTCGACTGCGGATGGATTTGAAACGGGCACATCACGCTTGTGGGAGGAGCTTCTCCTACCTTCTTGGACTTGTAACCGACTGTAGTGACGCCACTGGATGACCGAATTAAAGTGCAAAAAGCGAAAAAAGTACAGGAAGTGACCACGAGTGAATTATGATTACATTCGGCTCATTGGAACCCCGA